CTGTTTAAAGAAAGCTGAGCAAGATGAGTGCCTCTCCACTAACAAAATAAAAATAACAAAAAAAAAAAAAAAAAAAAAGGCACAATGAAAGAAACACAGAAATAGCCAATATGTGGAGACATAAACAAGGAGAGTAGCAATTGAGGCAAAAAAAGAAAAAATTTTTTTTTTTACAAAACAGCAGAGATCTACTTTTGTATATATACACTTCCAACCCTAATAATGGGAGTGGAAGCTAAAAAAAAAAAAAAAGAAGAAGAAGAAGTAGTAGTCAAGACATAGGCCTAAAACCTAGCAAAGAGAAATTCTAGCAATGGGATTTAAAAGAGACTTCATTTTAGTAATGCCTACTTGAAATGGAATTAGGATATAATAGCAGGAAGTATATACTGGGCAATGAACTAGAAGTCTGAAATTGAGGGATGCAGAACAGGTGGAAGGGAAATAGGAGATGTATGGGAACTCTATGGACAAAGGCGTGATCCCAAAAAGAGGATATAATTTGGTATATCAGATATATTGCCAAATCATAAATGGAGTCTAAAAGTGATGTAGCCAGTTATCAATTTATTGCCTCTCATCTAAAAATCCATTCTTCATTGTCCTGCTTATAACAGTGGAACATTTCTCTCTTGACAGGTATCATGCTAACCTTTATTGATAGAAGGTCCTAGACACTACAGAAAGAAGCAGCTTTCTTCCTAACTCTGTTATCTCTTTCTGCTTAATCCTGGGACACTGCATAATATACCTAGTAGAGCACACTCCAGAAAGTTTCAACAGCACCACCCCCATAGGTGTCTTCCTCACAAGGTCCCTGGCATGACTCATTCCCTTGGGCAGCTTCTCCCAGAACTTCTTAGCAAAATCTACCAGTGCAGAACCTCCCTCTGGGAAGCTTTCTAGCATACCACCCTTGTAGGCATCAAGAGGTATAGTACCTCCCTGGAAGATGGCTTTTCCCAGCACCACAGAGGACGGCTTCCCAATGTACTGCCATCATGGGCAGCTTCCCAGTAAATCCCAGTTCCCACCAGCATGGCACCCCAGCAAACTTCTCTGCCACTCAGTGATGACAGCTGCTCCTTCTTCATGGGTGCAGACCTTAGCCCTGGGTGAGGAAGAGGGTAAGGAGAGGGGTATTAAGATTTGTTCCTTCCTTCAAGTACTATGCTTCCATCCTATCATTAGAGGCTGCTCTTTATACTTTCTATCCCTGTATTCTTTAGAGTTGTCTTTATCACTTATTCTCCTGTTATAATAATTCTTTATATTAAACTTTTCCTATTCAGATTACTGTGTAGTTTTTATCTTTTGATCAGTCCCTAAGTGATACATTATATATTCCAAAATTAGGAATTCAATTTAAACTTAAGTCCTTTCTGGGAGAAGAGATGATGTCACAGAACTAAAGGAATATGGAATAGACAATGAGATTATAGGCTATAAGATTTCATCAAAGAGAAATACTGGGCACAGGTTCCAGCAGAACAACTCTGAAGCTCATAGGCTACATGCTTATCCTACATTTCTCTGCTATGGCTCACCATACATTATGAAGACTTCCACATGTATCTTGTTAATGCAACAAGACCACAAGCATATAAACCAGCATGTACTAAGAATAAAATGTGTCAGCAATAGATATGAGATTATTCCACAATTGTCAAATGTTAGTGTACATAATAATCCTCTAAAAATCCTATTAAAAAGTGGATTCCTAACCTATATACACACAAGAAAACTTTAATTCAGTAAGTCTGACTTGGAGTTCTGAAATGTGCATTTGTAACAGGTATCTTGGGTGATATTTAAACATGATCCATCAAATATATTTTAAGAAACACTCATCAAAAGGCAGAAGATAATATACTTTGGCAATGTATCTGATACACCAAATTAAGTAATTATTCAAAAGAATTAATTATGGATCTAAAAACTAAAAAATTTAGAATTCCAGATCAGAAGTTTAGTTGTATACTGAAGATTCCTCTTGATGAACATGAATGCATAAATCAGGATTTCAGGAATACCAGAAATTATGGTAACTGGCACTAAGAGAATAGATACAGAGTAGATACAGAGAAAAATAGACACATATGACAGCTATTTAGGTTATAAAATCAAAAGGACTCAGGAATGTACTGAATATTAGGAAATTGAGTTGTCAAGGTAAATCACCACACTTCTGGTTTACCCAAATGGATAAATACTACTACCATTCACTGAGATAGGGAATACTGGAGGAGGTATAAGTTTAGGGGTAAAAAATTCTTGGCTTTGACTCTTTGGGTTTGAGGTGAAATAGTCTAGAGGAGTTCAGAGGACAGTTTTGAGCAAGAGGTGTATATTTCTAAATTACCAGTATAAAGGTAATACTTAAATAGAAAAACTGGTTGAGGTTGCCTAGGGGGAGAAGTTCAGAGTAAAGAAAAGAAAGGAAGGCACAGAATGAAATCTCGAAGCACTCCAATATTTACTGGTTAGAAAAGGAAGGTGACTCTACAAAGTAAACAGCTAAAGAGGTAAGACAATAGCCAGGAAAGTGTAATTCACAAAAGCCAAAGAAATAGTGTTTTAAAAATGAGGAAATGATCAACAGTGTCAACTATGGCTGAGGTAAAGAAAATTGCCTATTGAATTTCACAGTATAAAAATTGCAGAGAACCATACAGAATGTTTTCTTTGTTATGGAGAGAGAATCCGGTCTGGGTAGGCTGAGAATGCTTTGGAAGTAAGAAGAGTATATACAGTAAATTGATATCAAAAAAATTTAGTTCTGAACCAGTAAAGTATAGCCCTTAGCTGAACTGTTAAATTTTTATAGAAAATCCATAGACAATTCCAATTGTTTTTGATAGCCCTAGTTGGCCCAGATTAACCTCCTCACTAAGTGCCAGTTTTTATAAAAAAAAAAAAAACTCAACTAGTTTCATTGTTCCTAAACTGTCTGCAAGGCTTTTCTCTCCTTTTTAAAAATTTTTTTAAAAGATTTTATTTATTTATTTATTTATTTATTTATTTATTTGAGAGAGAGAGAGAGAGCAGGAGCAAGGAGAGGGGCAGAGGGAGAGGGAGAAGCAGGTTCCCTGCTGAGTGGGGAGCCGGACAAGGGCTGGATCCCAGAACCTTGAGATCATCATCTGAGCCGAAGGCAGACACTTAATGAACTGAGCCACCCAGGTGCCCCTTCTCTCCTTTCTTTTATAAATCTTGGGTTTTGCCTTTATTCTCCAACAATAATCTAACAACTATTTTCCTCGTGATTTGCATACAAAATAGTTTTTAAAAGTTGATTATGAACAGCAAAAGAGAAATAGGCCTGTAACTGTAGGGATTGTGGCATCAAATTAGAAAGATATGAGCATATTTAAAACCTGAAAGGAATGACACAATTTATTAGGAAAAGTTTAATATACAAGAATGATTAATCAAATTTATTAAGATCCAAAACAAGTAAAAGAATGAGTTTTATGTAGGAAGAGGAATAATATCTGTTTAACAAAGGAAAGGAGTGTAGAATGAGCATGGATATAAATAAATTTTTATTTGATAGCAGAAAATGAAGGAGTTCTAGCTAATGGCTTGTATTTTCAAGCATTTTAAGTGACTGGCTGACAGTGAAAATGAAAATGGGACAGAGGGAATGTGGGTTTGAGATGATAGATGAAAAGGACTGAAATTCATTTTGGAAATCCAAAGGAATTGCCAGGCAGTATTTGGAATAATTATGTCTGAATAACTGTGTCACTTCATCAGTGTTTCACAGCTAAGCTAAAGGCCCAAAGAGTAAATAATTGCATTTATTCAAGGTTAAATTTTGTTAAATGAGTGCAATGAAAAAAGCAAGAGGTAAAGGAGAGTAGGAAGTTAAGAAATTCACTGTTATTAAGTACATATTCTCCAAGCTTAAAAGAAAAATGAGTAAAAAACCTACAGGAAGGTTAAGAAATGAATGCACTAGTGGTCTTGATAAAGTCAAAGAGTGGCCAGAATAGTATTTAAATAATAACTGATAAGATAGAAATTTGTAGCTCAAGAATAAGTTGCCTGAATTAGTGATTTTTAAAATAAAGCAATTTGGTTAATGATAAGGTCTAGAGTATGACAGGAAGTGAGGGTCAAAGGTAAAGAAAGACACTAGTTCTGGGAGATGAGTCAAGGAACTGAGAAGCTAGGATTTGGGGTGGGTCTTCACACTGACAGGACTAAGAATAAAAAGAGGAAAGTGAGACAAATCCATGAATAAAATAGAATGAAAAGAAGTTGGTAGATGAAAGTAAGAAGGCAGAAGGCAAGCTAGACTGTTCAAGCTGCAAAGTATGCATTTTACAAGAGGGGAGAACAGTGGACTTCACCTCAGTTCTCCATCTGTGGAAAGATAATGATCAATCTACCATAGTCAAAGAAGAACTACTTAACACTCTTCCAATGTCAACCATATCTATCCTAAAGCAAATAGTATACAGTCCATAAAAGTCTACTCTGGAGCCAAAGGTAAAATAATAAGAGGGTACTAGGAGATAGTTACAATTTCTATCTTTATTTTTTAATTTTATATCCCAAATAAATGAACCTATTTAATTTAAAGTACCTGGGATTCAAGAGTGTTTAATTGGACTAAACCATAAGTATAACCAAGGGAGAACAAGAATCATCCTATAAATCACTGAGGCTACCCTAGAAATCATTCTGCTATATTAACAGCATAAAGTCTTTCCCAAAATAGAATTAAAAACCCTTAAGGTTAGAGACCACTAGCTTTCAAAATGGTCATAAAACATCTGAAAATCTAAAGTACAAAAAAGAAATCATTAAAATAACATTAAGTTTAAAGAAAACCAATATATAATTTTATAAGTGGATTATATTATACATGCTTTTTTATTTTTTTAAATTTTTTTTAAAGATTTTATTTCTTTATTTGACAGAGAGAGACACAGCGAGAGAGGGAACACAAGCAGGGGGAGTGGGACAGGGAGAAGCAGGCTTCCCACAGAGCAGGGAGCCCAATGCGGGGCTCGATCCCAGGACCGGGGATCATGACCTGAGCGGAAGGCAGACGCTTAACGACTGAACCACCCAGGCACCCCTATACATGCTTTTTTAAATACAGGAGAAATGTTTAAGTTGATAAGTTTTGTCTTGTCACTTACTCTTCTATGTAAATTAGGAAAGAATGATAATTTAATTTTAGGAGAAACAATGTGTCAAACTCAGAGAATTCCAGATACATGCAGGAATGTAGTGTGTAATCACTGAGAAACATTTTGTTCTACCCATTTATTCCTTCTCTATCTAAATGAAAAGATTATAAACAATGATTATTCAAAATTTTAATATCAATTTAATTCACAATTAAGAAATGTTATACTTACCTCTTCCATCTGATTGACCTGTCGCTGAAACCACTTTAAAAAAAAAAGGAATACTTATTGTCAAGTTATTCAAACATATAGATACACATGAGTGCATTTGTGTGTGTGTGTGTGTGTGTGTGTGTGTGTGTGTGTGTTGTGTCTTCATCTATCAAATGTTAGCCCTGAACCAAACATCATTATCCTAGGGTTCAGAATGGGCCTAATGCAACATACAACTCAAACATAACATTTTTAAATATGTATAGTAGCAAGTTCAGGAATTCTTTTTACTTCCTCAAAACTTAGAAACCTCTTCTTCATTAATATGTATTTCTGTATTAAATGTTAGTAGGTTTAAACTGCAATATATTGAACATACCTTAAAAAGAGATTCCAAAATCTGGAAAATAAAGTTTTAATTAAAACATTTAAAAATAAAAATTCTTCACAGTGTATGATGTAATAAAATAAGTCTCTATAATTCTCAATCAGAAAAATGCACAAATTACAACTATAACTCTATAATCCAAAATCATAATGTTTATAATTACAGATATAGTTTTTAGTATATCTTGCATAGACAATTCTAGAAAAATTTCCACCTTTATAGATCTATATTAGGATACCCCAAAATAATTCACATATATGATTTCATATATTTTCTTAATATAGATAAGGAAAAAATTAAGATTCCTCTTGGAAGAGATTTTTTTCATATAGCAGAGAATATAGTAATGAAAAGCATTATCATAAGAACATTATCTCTTCAATAGGACTTTGCTCTGATAACGGGCCTAAAAATCAAGATATAAAATATTATACTACTACTTGATATTTTTGATTGAAAATGCAAAGAACAGGTTTGGAAGATTGTGACAGAAATTGAATATCCAAAATGAATCATACAATCCAAAATACCAATATTTAACACTTAGAAAATGTAATGTTAAAATGATTATGTTTGCCACACAAAATAAAAGCCCATTCTATCATATCCAGATAAGAGTTTTTAATCACTTTGGTAAAGAAAAATATTACTACATTCATTCAGGCAGTAAAAAAAAAGTTACTTAACTAAAAAATCAGGCTAGTCTAAAATTCCTCTTCTGTGACACTAACTCTAAATCAATAGTTCAAAAATTGTGGTCCCACAATCAAAAGCATCAGCATCACCTAAACAAAGATATTCATTGGCAATGTAAATTCCTAGGTCCTACCCCAGTCAACGGAATCAAAAACTCTGGGAGTAGGGCCAGCAATTTGTGTTTTAACTAGCCCTCCAATTGATTCCACTGCACGCTAAAGTTTGAGAATCACTGTGCTAAGTAATAAGAAATCAGAAATCTAAGCAAAAAGGGCTGAGATCATCAAGAAAACATACCAAAGTAAATAAATATCCAAGTCTGAAGGAAAATATTTTCAGCTACATAAGGATTTAGAAACTAATGTTCACTGAGGCATACTACCTTGTAATAAACTCATTCTTCCCACTATCAAAAGAGATTCCAAGGTTCTCAAAACCTCTTTTCCTATCTCAGAAGATGATGGGAAACCATCATATATCAATTCATCCACTCATTAGAGCCAGAGTTCAACAACTAAACTACTAAAAGCCTGGAGAACAAAGGCTTCCTCAACTACTGAGACATCAGTTCTAGTAATGTTAAATCTAGTATATGTGCTGCTGAAGTGAGCACTAGTAATGTTAAATCTAGAACATTACTGATAAAAGTGGAAACAGACCAGAACTGAGAAAATCAATTTTAGGCAAACACTAAATAGAAAGAGAAAATTCTATGAAAATATGGAAGAATATATATAAAGTTCCCCAGGAAAATATTAAACTTCCAACTCTAATTTTAAAGATATTATCATGTAAGTGTGAAGCCAAGATAAAACTATTTTCAGAAATTCAAAGGCTCAGAAATGTTTTCACCACACATTCTAACCTAGTAAACAAAAACAAAATTTATTCTTAGAAAAGTAAACACATGAAAAAACTATAGGCAAGGTAACCAATAAATACCCTCCTCTTATTGTTTCAACTTTTTATTTAAATTCCAATTAGTTAGCATATAGGGTGATATTAGTTTCATGAGTAGAATTCAGTGATTCATCACGAACATATAACACCCAGTGCTCATCACAAGTGCCCTCCTTAATACCCATCACCCATTTAACCCATCCCCCGCCCACCGCCCCTCCAGTAACCCTCAGTTTGTTCTCTACAGTTAAGAATCTGTTTTAAGGTTTACCTCTTTTTTCCCCTATGTTCATCTGTTTCATTTCTTAAATTCCACATATGGGTAAAATCATACGGTATTTGTCTTTCTCTGACTCACTTATTTCACTTAGCATAATACACTCTAGCTCCATCCACGTTGTTGCAAATGACAAGATTTCATTATTTTTTATGACGGAGTAACATCCCATTGTGTATATATACCACGACTTCTTTATGCATTCATCAGTAAATGGACATTTGGGCTCTTTCCATAATTTGGCTATTGTTGATAATGCTGCTGTAACATAAACATCAGGGTACATGTCTCCCCCACTTTGGATTAATATTTTTTTATTCTTTGAATAAATACCAGGTAGTGCAATTGTTAGATCGTAGGGTAGTTTTATTTTTAACTTTCTGATGAACTTCCATACTGTTTTGCAGAGAGGCTGCACCAGTCTGCATTCCCACCAACAGTGTAAGAGGGTTCTCCTTTCTCCACATCCTCACCAACATCTGTTGTTTCCTGTGTTGTTAATTTTAGCCATTCTGACAGGTGTGAGGTGATATTCATTGTAGTTTTAATTTGTATTTCCCTGATGATAAGTGATGTTGAGCATTTTTTCATGTGTCTGTTAGCCATCTGAGTAAATACCCCACTCTTAAAAAGAATTGTGGCTAATGGGGCTGGCACTCAATGCCACTGTCATAAAAGACTTCCTAATGAGAAGATGGCATAATATTTTTTAAAGTGAAATAATAACCTGTAACCAAAATTCCAGATAGGCATATTGTGTCACTGAAGCCGAGAGAAGTCCTGAAGGACTGGCAGCTTTTGCCTTTGTTTCATCTAGCTCAAAACTCTCTCAAGGCAAAAAACAAAGCAAAACAAAAACAAAAGAACAAAAACCCAGCTAAGTAGAGGGCATTCCTCAACATTGAAAGGCAAATAAACAAGCTACAGCTCCCTGAGAAAAAGATTGCCTTTGTGGCAAATAATATACATGTCAACAGCCTAGAAGAAAAAGCTGGGTAAAGAGTTACTTTGGAAACTAGGGATTTTGAAAAGATCCCATATATAAGGGGGAATCTAGTAAGCCATGCACTTGCCCAGGCCAAGAGTCATGCTCAGAAAAATATCTGAATGAACATTAAACTTCCACCTTTGGCTTATCTTTATCTCAGAGCAAGCAGAAAATGAAGGCTAACTCAAGATTTGTAAACAGTCTGGCTAAGCTTTGAAGGAGTGCCCCAACACAGAGCCAATCTTAAAGGAACAGGAAAAATTTTTTTCTCCTTTTCTTCTTTCTTTCTTTCTTTATTTTTTGTGTGGCTCAAGGCATTTAAGGAAATCTTTCTCAAATCCACCAGCTGACCACAAGCAACAGGAACAGAGGCCTGAGAGACAAAATATTTAATCAAGGAATACAGACTTTCAAAATAAATAGTTAGACTTCTGGTTTCCAATCCAGCATTCAAGGAGCCTGGATCTTTTGTTTATCTTTTTAAAGAAGCAGCTCTTGGTTTCATTCATTGATCTTTTACTTTATTAAAAGTCTTTTTATTTTTTTGTGTTCTGATCTTTATTAGCTTTTCTTCCTTCTATTAACCTTGTGCTTTGTTCTTTTTCTGGTTCATTTAGGTGTCAGGTTAGATTGCTTATTTGAACTTTCTCTTGTTTCTTGAGGTAGGCCTGTGTTGCTATGTATCTCCCTATTAAGATAAACACAATTGATAACCCTTAGCCAAACTCATCAAGGAAAAAAAGAAAAAAACTCAAATAAATAAATTCAGAAAGAAAAGAGAAGAATCAACTTACACCACAGAAATACAACAGAAAATAAGAGAATACTATGAAAAATTATATGTCAGCAAACTGGACAACCTAGAAGAAATGAATAAAATCCTAGAAATATACAATCTTCCAAAACTGAATCAGGAAGAGACAGAAAATCTGAAGACCAATTACTACTAATGAAATTGAATTGGTAATCAAAAACTGCCCAAAAATAAAAGTCCAGGACCAGATGGATTCATAGGTGAATTCTGACACCCATTTAAAGAAGAGTTACTACCTATTCTCAAACTATTCCAAAAAATCAGAAGAAAAAGGAAAGTTTCCAAATTCATTGTACAAGGCCAGCATTACCCTAATACCAAAATCAGACAAAGACACCACAAAAAAAGAAAACTATAGGCCAATACCATTGATGAACATAGATGTAAAAATCCTTAACAAAATATAGGCAAACCACGTTCAACAATACATTAAAAGGATCATTCACTACGATCAAGAGGGATTTATTCTGGGGTGCCTCAGTGGCTCAGATGGTTAAGTGTCTGACTTTGGCTCAGGTCATGATCTCAGGGTCCTGGGATCAAGCCCAGTGTTAGGCTCCTTGCTCAGCAGGGAGTATGCTTGTCCCTCTCCCTTGCCCTCTGCCCCTCCCCCACTCATGTGTGCTCGCTCTGTCTCTCAAATAAATAAAGTCTTTTTTTAAAAAAGAGGGATTTATCCTGAGGGGGCAAGGATGGTTTAATATTCACAAATCAATGTGATACATCATATCAACAAAAAAGATTAAAAATCATATGATCATCTCAATAAATGCAGAAACAGCATTTGACAAAATTCAACAGCCATTCGTGATAAAAATTCTCAAGAAAGTGGGTTTAGCAGAAACATACATCAACATAACAAAGGCCATATTAAAAAAACACACAGCTAACATCATATCCAATGGGGAAAAAAAATAGAGCTTTCCCCCTAAGGTCAGGAATAAGACAGGATGTCTACTCTCACCACTATTAATTAATTCAACATAGTACTAGAAGTCCTAGCTACACCATTCAGGCAAGAAAAATAAATAAAAAGCATCCATATTGGTAAGGAAGAAGTTAAACTGTTGTTATTTGCAAATGGCCTAATACTATATATAGAAAACCCTAAACTAGTAGAACTATTAGAAATAATAAAGGAATTCAGTAACATTGCAGAATATAAAATTAATATTCAGAAATCTGTTGCATTTCTAGCAAGATAGGAGAAGGAGAAATTAGGAGAACAATTCTATTTACAATTACACCAAAAGAAATTAAATACCTAGGGATAAATATAACAAAGGTGGTGAAAGACCTGTACTCTGAAAACCATAAAACACTGATGAAATAAGTGG